CCACACATGCAGGCCATTCAACGACGGTACCAAAATGTGGTCAAGGACTCAACTCGCCAGCTGCAGTACAACATGATCCTCGGCCGAAAACTGTGCGTTCCATCGCCCTCGATGCACTTTTTTCTCGATCTTGTTTCTGGTTCTCACCTGTTTGGCTCCTCGCAGTGCGCACTGTTTCCCTTCGCTCGAGCCGAGCCCGTCGCGATTCGAGTGCGTGAGCAGCTACCCGGCCTTCTCGCTCAAGACCGTGCCCTGTCTGTTCTCCGACCTCGAACCCGAGAAGTGGCTCCTGGTACGCTGCTATGTCATTGCATCAGCCAGCCAGCCAACCGATCAACGGACTCTGCTGAATTCGCTTTTTCCCCCTCTCATTCTACACAGGCGGACAAGCTCACGAACGAGCCCTTTTCGTGGATTGCGCCCAGCGGTTGTGATGTTCTCGAGGTAACTCGCACCCGTCCCCGTTTTCTTTCATACCAATTATTAATCCGTATGTGTGTGTGTGTGTGTGTGTGTGTGTGTGTGTGTGTGTGTGTGTGTGTGTCTGTCTGTCTGTCTGTGTGTGTGTGTGTGTGCGTGCGTGTGTGTGTCTGTGTGTGCGCGTGGTGTGTGTTGTTCAAAACAGTTGTACATAGTGCTTCGACGGAGCTGCGACCTTAAAGAGTTTGCGCTGACCGTGACTGGCGGCGCCGGTGATGCGGCGTACCCCGTTTACGTCGACCTGTTCATCGGACCCTACCTCAACCGTCTGAGGTACCTTACCTCCCCACGCTTTCCTCCGGCTCACTCACTCACACGCGGCCTTGCCCTCCAGTATCGTGATGCAGGACCTCCCGCTCCCTCGGGTGACGGCCGGCACCAAGCTCTACTACGAAGTCCCCGCGCACACGTGGACCGCCTACGAGGGGCCGTCCATCTACGATTTTGGCGGTAAGCATTAACATACAATTTTCAATGATATACACAATAATATTAATATAATATCCGATATAACAATAAAAATTCGTTCTTATGGGCAGATGCAGGAGGCAAGCGACCGAAGACGAGGATCGTGCAGTTCCGCTTCCGCGGGCTTTCGTCGAGTCACTACATGACCATCGGCAAGATCGAGCTCTACGGCCAGGTGCCTCAGCCCTTGGGATCGCCCGAGCAGGCCTACGTACACACCCTTTACCCGGCCCTCTTATCAAAGTCTATTGTGAACTTGGCCAACAAGCAATGCTCACTGTGTGCGTGTGTGCGTGTGCGGTGGTGCGTGTGCGTGTGCGTGTGTGCGTGTGCGTGTGCGTGTGCGTGTGTGTGTGTGCTGTGTGATATAACGAACTATGAATAGGAAAACGTTATCCTAAAGGAAACGCACAGCAAGGTGAAAAGCATCCTCGAAGCGCTCGATATCGGGGAAGATGAGAAGCGGCGAGGCGACGCCGAGTGGAGCAGCTCGGAGGAAGAGGACGAAGGCGAAGAGAGCGACGGTCTGTCGCGCACGCCACTGGGTGGCCTCGACTTCAAAATGGAATCAACGCAGGAGAAGCGGAGCACCGACATGGTACCCATACCCTGCGCACACCTGCTTGTCATCGCAGGCACACGCTCACCCCTTTCCGTGTGTCGTGTGTCGTGTGTCGTGTGTCGTGTGTCGTGTGTCGTGTGCAGGTTTTGGACATGTTCGGGGTGACTCCAGCGTTTCAAGGCGAAGAGGAGGACCTGCCGCGGTCCCGCTCGTCCTCACTCGCGCTCGCCTCCATGTCGGAGGTATCGCCCAGGTACTCTCTTCCCATTCATCATTGGATTCTTCCCATTCAGGTCTCTCTCTTGCGAGTCATCACGCGATTGAGGGGCAGCCAACCCGCCGACCGCGGACTGACTCCTTCCCTTCAATTTGGCGCGTCGCAGGAACCCCTTCAAGAACCCGAGGGAGTTCACCATCCTGGGCGATCGGGCCATCGTGAGAGAGATCGAAGAGAAGGGAGTCGAAGGTGACGCGGTTTTCTTTTCTTTGTCGTCGCAATCAGCTTCTTTTTTCTTTATTCTTTATTATTCTTTATTATTTCCTCTTCTGACGTGCGACCTTTCTGTGCCATATTTATGTATCCAGAGGTGTATGCTGAAACGGTGCGAAGTCTATTGTGCACCAAGGGCGAAAAGGCGCTAGACTTCACCGATACGCTGGAGCTCGAGTACCTGCGGTAAGCCAACGCGACACATACGACACGACACGACACGACACTCACGACACACACGACGCCCACATTTGGAACGTGTTTGTTGACTAAGAAATCTAACTCCTTGCGTGCGTACAAGACTTTCGCTGGGATTGACCGCGGCGCAGAGGGACCAGATCCTGCTCAAGCTGCACCAGAGCATCTTCTCCTACAACCCCTGCCGATTCGTCTTCCTCCACGACGAGAAGGCCCAAGATATCCTTTCCACCCCCCCCCCTCGTGCGTGTCGTGCGCGTGCGGTGGTGCGTGTCGTGTGTCGTGTCGTGTCGTGTCATGCGTGTGCGGTATACTTAGTGGTCGATGGTTCCTTGACTCCTGTGCACCTTCGATGCGTCGGGCCGCGAAGCACAAGTCGCCCAGCGTGTGCCACAACTGCAAGTCATCGCTGGGCTTCTTCTCCATCGGCGTGGCCCAGTGCTACTACTGCCACCACCGCTTCTGCTCCAGCTGCGTCGGCACGCCGACCAAGATCATCGAGTTCATGTGGGACAAGCCCCAGCCCGTCTGCAAGCGCTGCCAGGCCAAGCTCCTGCGCCAGGCCGAGCTCCTCACCAACGTGCAATACGAAATCGGTAATCGACGCGTTCTGTTTTTTTCTTTCTTCGGTGCCGCATCTAGTATGATTCTCACATTTCTGGCGTTCCTTGTGGTAACACACCACAGGCAAGCAGAAGAACATCATGCCTAAGGAGGAGGAAGCGCGAGAGGAGGTAACACACACACACCCACACCCACACACACCCACACCCACACCCACACCCACACCCACACCCACACCCACACCCACACACCACACACCACACACCCACCACACACACGTTTTTTCTCACATCTTTCGCCTCGTTCGCTCAGCTCATCCGTACGTTGCATGAGGCGCGACCAGTGCCCAGCCTGGCCAGTTCCAGCTCCGACCTGCCCGCTGTACGTGTCGTTCGTTTGTTGAGCCCTTCCCTTGTTTGTTCGGCCAAGGTGGTTCCATGGCAGCCAACTGACTGACTTTGATTCACCAGGCGTTCTCCGACCTGCAAGCACGGCTCGCCTTCGCGTCGATGCCCACGGCCGTCTCGCTGGCCGACTACCCCTCCGCCTGCGTCCTTCTTGATGTGGTACTTTACCATTTCTACTATTATTGTTTTTTTATTTATTTCTATTTCTATGATTATTATTACTATTTCCTTTTTTCCTCGATTAATTTAATATTTTTTTCTGAATGAACAGCCTACACGAGCCTTATCCGCTCCGATCGAAAGTGTTTTGGTTCCCGAGCACCTGCAAGTATCGTCCATCATCAGGGAGCAGGTAAATCATCGGCCACCCATCACACCATATCATACCATCTGAACGCTGTGGCTCACTCTCGGCAACGCGCTCTCTTTCCTTCGTTCCTTGTGTGGCGATCGACAGAGTTTTGCATCGTACTGGAGCGCGCCGGCGCAACAGGGTTGCGTGGAGATGCGCATCGCGCTCGCGGGACCGTCCGTGGTGCGTTCCTTCTCCATCGTTGTCGACGAGCTCGGCTACAGCGAGAGCGACGCGCCGATCGTGTCGCTGCTGGCCGGGCACACCATCTCCGACTGGCGCAACGTCGGCTCGTGGAACCTCGCCAACTTCACCCACCTCCTGCCCAACGTACGCCGTTTCCCTTTTGGACCACTTCCCCATGTGTCTACCTTGCGTTCAACATTTCCGACATTCTCGTGTGTGTGTTGCGTGTTGTGTGTTGTGTGTGTGTGTGTGTGTGTGTGTTCTTTCAGAGCAAGCGTGGCATACCGGGCCGGGGAGTACCTTACCTTCGAACTCGAGCAACCGGAGGAGTGCCGCCTGCTGTCCTTCACGCTGCGACTACCCGAGCACGCCGCGGCCAGTCCTCCTCACTACACGGAAGGCAACAACAACGACACCGACAACGTCGACAACAATGTCGACACTGTCGCAGCTGGCGACGACCGGCGCCCCAGCCCCAAGGCCAAGGAGCACGAGCCCGACACACCGCTGGGGCGGAGTGGCGAGCGAAGAGACCCGGAAGTGGTCAAGGCCTTGTCGACGACGGCGCGGGTGGAGGAGAAGGAGAAGGAGGTCTTCCTCCACCTGGGTCGGCTGCGGGTATACGGCGACGTGCTCGACATGTACAAGCTCGAACAGCGCGAGCAGGAGAAGAAGGCCTTCAAGCGGCGCAGCGCGCGGCTGGCCATTAGTGCCAACGACGAGACCGCCGCCACGCTCGACGTCTCGGCCCTCTCCACCACCACCTTCGCCTCATCGTCGCCGGACGAGCCCTCGTCGTCTGCCGAACCGGCGGCGACGGGGCCTTCGCCCTTGGTAGTGAGCGGCGGCTTGATGGCGGCGCAGGCCGCGGCGGCGAGTGCGACGACGGCCGGCACGAGCGTGGCGTCGTTCCTCGCGTCGCTGCCGTCGTCCCTCTCGTCGCCCTTCACCTCGCCCTCGCCCACCTCCGTACTCCCGCGCGACCTGCCCCTCACCGGCCTCGAACGGATACTCTACGACCAAATCATGAACACCCCTTCGCCTCGCGTACGTCTGCCACGCACACGCACACGCACACGCACACGCACACGCACACGCACACGCACACGCACACGCACACGCACACGCACGAGCTAACGCGAGTGTGAATGTGCAGAACTATAACTTGATCACGCCAGTGTGGGCGCAGTCGCGCAACGGGAAGCAGATGATCGACATCTGCATCGAGCCGAGCACGGTCACGGGCTTCGTGGCCCTGGTGCGGCACGGCGACGAGGGCTACCTGTCGCAGGTCAAGCTCATCCGCGTGCTGGCCATCGTGACGGGCGAGGCCAAGGGCGAGATCGTCTCCTTCCGCCCCGTCGGTCGCTTCGTCCTCCCCAAGGCCCGGCCACGCACCTACCTCTGCTTCGAGTTCTCGTCGTCGCCTTCCTCATCATCATCATCATCGTCGTCGTCTTCTTCATCAACGACGCCATCGTCATGTGCGACGCCGGCGCCGCTGCGGGCCAACATCCTCACCTTCCAATTCCTCTCCAACTACGGCGGGCGGGAGACCCAACCGCCGAAGATCTATCTCTTCAGCTCTGGCGCCTCATCATCGTCATCGTCGGCCTCGTCGAGTTCTTCCTCCACCACCGAGCAGTAGCAAGGTAAGGCTGTGACGAAGAAGAGAAAGAAGAGAAGAAGAGAAAGAGGTTAAAGTGCCACTATTTATTTGGAAGACACAAATTCAAACACATTACCTCGTGATTTCATGGTTACCGTGCAACGAGCAAGGCGCTTTCCTTTTTTGTGGAATATGACGGTTGAAAAAACAAAGAATTCAAACTAAAACACAAGCGCGGGGAGGCCACCAAACGGCGATTCCTTCATCGATTCCTACCTCACCCCTCAACAGCCTGGTCGATTCCCAAAGGTACAGTTCTTTCTTGTTTTTATTTCGCTTTAGAATTAGATTTAAACTCTCTTTCGATTTCTGAAATCTTTCAGAAATAACCTGTTATATTTAGTTATCTATTTATTGATTTTTAGTGGAGACATTTTGGGTTCATTCATCTTTAGTTATATTTTAATACTTTATTTATTTATTGGGTGCAGAGAATGGAGGTGTCGGGCGGGGCAGACAGGACCGAAGAGGAGGAGCGGATGGAGGGCATGGACAAGGAGCTCATCCGGCGCCTCTCCACCCGCGACTTTGCCAAAGGGCAGCGCCTCGCCAAGGAACGCCGCTGGGAGGCCATACAGATCAAGGTACGCGCCCCCTTGGACACTCACCAGATAGGCGATGGGCCGCGCAGACCACGCGCTGATCTCCACTGGCTGGCCTTGCCTGCGACAGACGTTCAAAGCGTGGATCAACTGTCAGCTGGCCCCGCGTGGCATCAACGTGAGGGACCTCGACGCCGATCTCAAGTGACGCGCTCTCCCGCTCGCCTTCTCTCTTCGTTGTGCCTGTGTTGATGATGTTTGTGTTGCGTTGTGGGTTCTATTTCTAGGTCGGGGGTGGTGCTAGTGAACCTGCTGGAAGTACTCACCGGGCACAAGGTGGCCCGTAGGGACCGGGACTTCAAGCACGACCTCGTGCGCGAGATCGAAGTCCCCTTTTCGCTCGCCGTACGTTCCTAGTTTCGTTTTTTTTTTGCCTCCTGTGTTCGCTCGGGCTCGCCTCGCCCTGACCTGTCGCCCCCCAACCCTTAAGAACCTGCGAGTCGCGCTGGACTTCATCGAGCAAAACATCGGCCTGCGCCTGGTGAACTGCTCCGCCGAGGGTACTACGACGAACCTCGATTATTTATTTAGTATATATCTTTATAGATATTTAAGTTTATACATTTAAATTTGAGTTTCTATATTTATATTTACGTATCATGCCATATACAGAGATCGTAAAGGGCAACATCAAGATCATCCTGGCGGTGCTGTGGGTGCTCATTCGTAAGTTCCACATCGTCGACCCGGCCCTCCGCAACGCCACCGCCACGGGTACTCGAGATTTGCCTCCTCACCTACTCACGTCTGCGTTTTTGACCAATAATGATTGACTGCTCGGGTGTGGCGTGCCAGTGAGCGATTCCTCCGAGTTGCAGGGCGCGGCGGAGAAGCACCTGCTGGCGTGGGTGCGCGAGAAGACGTGCGGACTCGTGGAGGTCACCAACTTCACGAGCAGGTAGCCGCGCTCTGTGCCACAAATCAATTCTGATCCCCTTACCCCTCACCTCCCGCTTCGCCCCGGTGTGCAGTTTCCAGAACGGGCTGGCCTTCTGTGCGCTGTTGCATCACTACCGGCCGGACCTAATCGACTTTGACCAACTGCCCGACGACCCCAAGGCCAACCTGGAGCTGGCCTTCGACGTCGCCGAGACCCACTGCGGGGTCGCCCGGTACTCCCCCCTCGCTTGTCATCAGTCGCACATCGCATTCGTGCCAGGCTCACACCACTGCCACGTCGGCCGCCCCTGAACAACAGTTTGCTGGACGCGGATGACGTCATCGCGTACCCGGAGGACCTGTGCATCCTCATCTACGTCTCCTCGCTCTACCAAGAACTCGAAAAGGACAATGAAAAGAGGAAGATACTGCCACGCATCTCAGCTGCCTTTAAGAACCCTTTGAAGGTATCCCGCCTTACACCGCACACGATCACACACACACACACACACACCACACACACATACACACACGGCACGACACACGACGCCACACACACGTTTGGCTAACTCGACTCGGTAGGCACTGGTGAAGGATTCGAACAAGAAAGCGGTGGAGCCGGTGAAAAAGCTGAGCCTCTCGAACAGCAACCTGATCAGCAGCGCTGGCGGAAGCGCCGGCGGGGGCAGCTCCGGCGCTGCCGCGTCGCCGCGCGGCGATATGATCAGCACCAGCGCCGGGAGCGTCACCCTGCCCAAGCGCAAGTCGAGCAAGAGCTTCTTCTTCATGGGCGGCCGCGACCGCGACAGCTCGGGCGACGAAAAGGAATGCAGCGGAAACGAGGCCGGAAAGGAGCGGTCGGACAGCGCCGAGAAGAAGCAGGACCGCACTCGGGTGTCGTTCTCACCGCGCAACAGCGGCGAGATCAGTCGCATCGACCGACGCGACAGCGGCAACTACGGCGGCAGCGGCGGCGGCGGCGGCTCGTCGACGACAACTACAGCGACGGCAGAGGCGCCGACCAAGAGCGGCGGCGGCAGCGGCGAAAGCGGTGACCAAAAGCCGGCCAAGGGGCGCATGTGGGCGCACTGGCGCTCGCGCGACGAGCCCCACCAGCCGCAGAGCCAAGCGCAGGGCAGCAACAGCAGCGGCGACGACGATCGGGACATTATGTTCGCACGGGTGGGTGACGGTCGATGGAAGGCGGCCGAGCGCCTGTTCGGCCCCAGCAAGCGCTTCGGGTGGGGCCTAGGCTTGGGGCTGGGCCTGAATCTGGGCGGCGGCAGTGGAAGCATCAGCGGCGATCTGGGCCTGCGGCGGTCCAAGAGCGGTACCTTCGAGAGCCGCCAGCGCGAGAAGGAGCGCGAACGCGAACGCGAGAGAGAGCGCGAACGGGAGAAGGAACGCGACAGGGAGCGCGAGCGCGAGAAGAAGGCGATGGTCATGGTGACCACAGCTGCGGACGCCGCGGCGGCGGCAGCCACGTCAGCAACCAACAACTCAGCTTCGAGCGGTGAAAAGAATGACAACAATGCGAGCAATACGGGCGGTGAAGTCAGCGGCGGCATCAACAGCGACGGGCGAGGCCACATACTGCGGCGGGTGTCGCTCACGAACCTGCGCAAGCGGCGCAGCGCGAGCCTGGTGGAGCGCTCCGAGCGCGAGCGCGTCGACCGCGAGACCAAGATGGCCGCCATGGCCCTCTATACCGCCGCCGCGCAAAGCTCTCCACACGAGGCCGTGGCCGAGCCCAGCTGGGCGCCGTGGAGCCCAGCGCGCCCGGCCTGCCCTAGCCGCTCGACCGACGTGCTCCTCTCTCCTCGCGGGCGGGCGCAGCCGCCAACTGCAGCGCCGGCGGAGCACGACGACGGCGCCAACAGCAGCTCATCTCCGCCGCCGGAAGAGGAGAACTCGAGCATCTACGACGCCTTCGAAGCGCTGGAGAAGGCCTACGCTACCATTTCACACCAAGGTTCGTGTGTGGTATGTGCGGTGTGCGCGTACGGTATGTGGTATTTAACGTTCTTTGTGGCCACACACACAGACAAATTCCTGAGCGAGGCGTTGATGATGAAGTTGGAGGAGACGCGGCGGCTGCTCTCCTCCACGCCCGGGTCGGCTCGTTCACGCTCGCGCTCGCGATCGCGCCCGCACCAGGCGGCGATCGACCCTACGCTCGACTCGGCCAACCGCCACCGCGGGGCCAGCGACCCCGAGGCCGTCGATCGCGCCCGCGTCGGCCCGACACGGCAGCAGCAGCCGGTCCACCCCGTCGTCTACACCGACGACGACGACGAACCAGTGTCGAGTGCTGACGTCAGCGTGGGAAGCGACAGTGCTGCTGACGTCAGCACTGCACGAGACAGGAAGGACTCAGCCGGGACCCAGGCCCTGTCGCTCCACCAATCGCAGCCGGACTTGGTTCTGCCTCGTTCGGCGGGCGCAGTGCAGGCGGCCCCGGTCCAGGCGGTGGTCTACGCGCCGCACGCGTCGGTGGGCCTGCTCGGTGCGAGCGTGGAGGGGGAGGAGGAGGTCGACTTCACCTGCCTCGGGGCGCGGGTGCGCGGAGAGCTCACCGAACGCGGCGCCGAGCAGCTCAAGCTGGAGCTCGACGCTTTCCGTAGCAACAGTACGACCGCACGACTGCACGCAGAGCGCAACACAGAGCTAACGAGCGAGTTGTTGTCGACTGCAGGTGGCTGGTACGGGACGACTTCGAAGCAGGCGGTGAAGGGGGCCACGGGCAAGCGCCGGCGACGCCAGCGCGAACTGGCGGTGATCGTGACGGGCGAACTGGGCGAGAAGTCTCTGGCCTCGCTAGCCCTGGTCGGCGGTACACCACAGGCCCACACCATACATCACCGTATTTGCTTGTCTTTGGCTGATTTTTAACCCTTCTGTCGCCTCCCACAGGAGCGCTTAAGCGGCTTTGCATTGGCGACAACGAAGAATTCAACGGCACGCGCGAACACACACATACACACACATACACACACACACGGCAGCACACAGGTGGCTAACTGGAAACGGCCACAGAGCTGGAGGAGTTGGTGGCGGCGGTGCCCGAGGTGACGGATCTCAAGCTGGAGCGGTGCCCGCAGCTGACCAACCTCGCCCCGCTGACTGCCCTCCAGCAGCTCGTCTGTCTCAGCCTCGACGACCTGCCCTCCGTGACCGACCTTCAGCTGCTTTCCTCTCTCCGGTGCGTGGCCTTCCCTGTGCGTGCCTGCGGTCGCGTGTGTGCGTGTGCGGTGGTGTTGACTTGGGTGGAGCAGATCGTTGGAAAAGCTGAGCATCAGGACCTGCTGCCTGTCGTCGCCGCCGTCGGCTTTCGCGCCGACATTCGCGCCTCACGTCGCGCCCTTCTCGCTGACGCTCCTCACGCCGCTTCACGGCCTCCGCGCGCTGCGGCTGACGTCGGCCGACCT